TGCACCCAAAAACCCTTAGGTGCTCCAGATGAGGCTTCTTGCCCGTCCATGCCTCATAGGGAGTTGTGCTAGCCAAGGCTTTCATCGGTACTCGATTGAGTATGTAGACCGCATGCCTCACCGCCTCCCCCCACATCTTTGTAGGCATACGCATGCTCTTCAGTAAGCTCCTTGCCATTTCTAGGACAGTACGATTTTTTCATTCAACAACGCCATTTTGTTGTGGCGTGTATGGCGCTGTCAAGTGCCGCTGGATGCCTTCTTCTTCACACAAAGTCGTGAACTGTTGAGACAAGAACTCGCCACCACGATCTGTCCTCAACACCTTTATCTTGTGCTCAACCTCCTTCTCGATCAATGCCTTGAACTTCTTGAACGCGCCAAATGCTTCACTCTTCAGCTTGATTATGTACACCCACATCATTCGGCTATAGTCGTCAACAAGGAGGAGGAAGTATCTGTTGCCGGCGGGTGTCTCTGGTGTTATCGGTCCACACAAATCTGCGTGTACCAACTGTAGCGGGTGTTCGGCTCTGAAGTTCGCCTGTGAGGGGAAGGCATTCCTCGTTTGCTTTGCCACAAGACATCCCTCGCAAATCTGCGTTGGATGATTGATCTTCGGGATGCCGTGTGCCATTACTCGATCCCCCATCATCTTGAGTGCCTGGAAGCTCACGTGCCCAAGCCTCGCATGCCACAACCAAGCTGGATCCTCCATGCTTGCCGTCAAACAAACAGGTTCACAAGTTTCCAACAAAACTTTGTAAAGCCTGTTGGGGGATCTCTTGACTTTGATCAACAATCTCCCATTCCTGTCATATATACACAAAAATGCTCCACACATAACAGTCCTACTGCCACCTTCAGAGAGCTGACCAAGACTAATAATATTGTTACATAGACTTGGTATGAAATATACCTCTCGCAGTAGTCGTTGTTCACCGTTCTTGCATAGAAATAGGATGGATCCCTTCCCTTTGATTTGCACTGTCGAGCCATCGCCAAACTTCACCTGCCCATGGATGCTCTCATCCAGGTGCTTGAACATAGACCGCTGTCCTGTCATGTGGTTGCTGGCCCCATTGTCCAGGTACCACACGTCAGACCCGACCGTTTCCTTCTCATCTGTCTGCAGCTTCGGAATAACATTCTTCTCATTCAACAACACCATGTTGCGCGCGCCCCCTGCGCACTCGGACAAGAGTAGTGCTGGCTCTTCATCTAGAACACGGGTGAGATTGGTCTCCTCGTCTCGGTGCTTACTGCGACACTCCGAAGCATAGTGCCCGAAGTTGTTGCAGTTGAAACACTTGATCATGCTCTTGTCTCGGCCTCCTTCACGACCTCCGTTTGTTCCCTGGCGAGTACTGGTGCTACTGCCACGACCTCCATTGCCGCGGCCTCGGCCACGACCACGGCCGCGTGAGTAACCACACCCATGCCCGCGGTTGTTTTGAGAAAAAAATTCCTTTCCCCGTGATGACTTTGCGTCGGGTTTAGGATCCCCTCTTATTAGTAGCGCCTGTTCGTGCCGGTCGTCGTAGTCACGGTAGCGCTCCTCATGTGCCTTTAGAGCACCAATCACCTCGTCCACCTGCATGGTCTTGAGATCGCCGAACTGCTCCATAGTCGCGGCGATCTGCAAGAACTTTGGTGGCACACAACGGAGAAGTTTCTTCACCACATGGCTCTCCTCCATTGTCTCCCCAAGAGAACGTATTTGGTTCACAAGGGTAGTGAGTTTTGTAGCGAACTCATCCACCGACTGCGCATCGCCCATGCGCAGATTCTCAAACTCCCACCGAAGTGCCTGGAGTTTGACTTCTTTCACACGTTCCACACCAACGTGCATGGTTCTGAGTGCCTCCCAGACCTCACGGGCAGTCTCCTTGCCCGCGACTTGAAGCATTGTCTCCTCCGGGATCGCCTGGTAGATGACGGCGAGCGCCATCTGATCCTTCTTCTCGTCCACCGATTCAGCATCGCCGGTGGCCTCGATTGCCGCCCAAACCCCTTGGGCGCGCATGTTGGCCTTCATCTTCATTACCCACGCCGGGTAATTCGACTTCGACAGCATCGGGTACTTGAGGGTTACCGAGCCCTCCCTTGCTGTTACTGTGTCAGTGAGCTCCTCGCTCCCACTCTGGGATTTGCTCGACGACGGCATCTGCTTCGACATACTGGCTCTGATACCACGTGATGAAACTGGATCAAAGCCTCGTGATGAAGCTGGATCAAAGCCAAAAAAAACGTTGAATGAAGGCACAGAGGGAGAATATGCACACGGAGAGAACTTGGGAGTTTTTATTGATTGGGATGCTACTTAAACTTAAAACAATCACTCGCTTTAAATAAGAGAAAAAACTTAACAGACTCAAAACCAACCTATCCTAAAGATAAGATCAAATCCCGCAACCAACTCATCAAATCCCGCAACCAATTCATGCTGTTGCTTGACCGCTTCTCTCGGCCTGGCTTGTAGCCACGTCATGATTATTCCAACATTCTGCAAGTCATTAGTGAGATTTTTGCAAACTTTCGAGGGGCTTTCTACAAATTATTAGGGGTTTTCCCACAAGCTTTCAAGGGGCTTTCTGTAAACTTTTTAGGGGATTTTTTACAAACCTTTTAGAGGCTTTCTGCAAACTTCCAGAGGACTTTTAACAAACTCACAAATAGCATATCAACTTCAGCAGTCCTCTATAAATTTGAGATTTCACAATTTCATGTGTCATTTATGAGGTTATAAATTTTTTGAGAGTTTTTTTTATAATTTTTAACTCTTGAGGGTGTTTTCTAATATATTTTTAAAAGTTTGAGGGTGTTTTTTTTACAAATCTCAAAATTTTAAGGGCATGCTTTAATTTCCTGATTTTATGTTTGTTGGTCATTAGTTTACCTTTAGGGTGTTTTATGTAATTTTAAAATTTTAAAAATAGTTTTTGTAATTGTTGAAACTTTGAGGATATTTTTGAAAGAATACCCATCTAAATGGGCAAATAGGTGATTAATAGCTCGCCATTTATGACTCATTTATCTTTAATAGAAACAATATCTAGCCATTTGTGACGCATTTAACCAAATGGGTGAGTTTGGATGGGTTATTTAGTGAATGAGTATGTGTGGGCAAACGTGTTTGGGTCAATTTTGCTATCCCTATTCTTACCATAGATCATCCCATTCTAGTGACTGCTATTTTTTATTATCTATTGTGGATGATTTTAGTCATTGTACTTGGGTTAACTGATGAAAACATAAATCCCAAGATTTTTTTTATTTCATACACATCTACAATATGGTGAAAATGCAATTTGGAAGACCATTAAAGTATGTAGCGATGATGGCCTTGAATTTCAATTTGAACCTATTACAGTATTATCATAATAATGAGATTGTACATCACACTTCATGTACCGATACTCCACGACAGAACGACATGTTGAGAGAAAACATCATCTTCTTGAAATGGCACGAGCCCTAAGGTTCCAGGCGCATCTAGCACTTAAGTTTTGAGGCAGTAGTTTTTTTTTTAACTATAGTCTACCTAATTAATAAAAAACCTATGCCCTTGCTCTCTAATAGGATCTGTTATGAGGTTTTTGTTTGGAAAACTTCCTTCATAATAAGCCCAGGGACAAGTTCAAATCTCAGGCTACCCCTTGCATTTTTTGTGGGACACCCTCACTGTCAAAAGAGTTATCGGGTTTACAATATTGAGAATAAGCAGATTTTCACTTCAAGAGGTGTTATATTTCACGAAGTTAATTATCCGAGTTTGAATCGCCTAGAATTACCAACTGTTCCTTACCAATAAATAATTGCAAGTCCCCTAGATGTAGCAGATAACTCTGGGGTGCAAATAGTTGATGCGAGTGATGAGGAGATCACACATTCAGTTAGTCAAGCAGAACGTGATTTTGAGGCAGAGGCTAATGGACGCACACCAGCATGACATGACGCGCATGCATATGGGAGACAGTGGGATGCCTTCCAGTGCAGAATCTTCTACTAACGCAAAACCATCATAGGCGTCCCCAGCGCCAACGCCAAATTCCTACTCGCTTTCAAGACTTCATTAGTTTGTAACATTCCATCGAGCGTATATAGCCCCATCTCATGCGTGGTTCATCCTATTGCAGGCTAGATCACTTATAATAAAATTTTAGCTGATCACTCATCTTTCTTAGCGGGGCCATCACTGCTATAGATGAGCCAAAGTACTTCCATCAGATTGTTAAGGAGGCCCATTGGTGCGAGTCTATGACCAAGGAAATTCGAGACTTGGGGAGTAAAAATACTTGGACGCTTGAGCCCCTTCCCTCAGGGTAGAAAGCTATTGATTCTAAGTGGGTGTACGAGATTAAGTACAGCTCGGATGGGAGTGTTGAGTGCTATAAGGCAAGTCTAGTGGCCAAATTGAAGGCTTTAAACAGGTGGAGGGGGACAAACTACCATGAAACTTTTATACCCATTAGTACAAAACAGGACAGCCCAAACGGTTGGAACAGTTTGGGAAAACACAGTCCCAAACGGTTACAACCGTTTGGACAGATAAAAGACCCGTTTGGGAAAAGTCTACCCCAACAGTCACCCAAACGGTTGTAACTGTTTGGGCAAAATCCCAAACGGTTGTAACCGTTTGGGATTTTTCCAAACAGTTACAACCGTTTGGGATGTAATAAATTGTCAAACGGTCTAAACCGTTTGGGCAAATGTTTGCCCAAACGGTTGAAACCGTTTGGGCAAATATATGCCCAAACGGTTTTTGCCCAAACGGTTTGGACCGTTTGGGCATATATTTGCCAAAACGGTTTGAACCGTTTGGGCATAGATTTGCCCAAACGGTTTGGACCGTTTGGGGTGTTTATTTTTAACTTTTTTTTAAAATTTTTGATTACTTTATTTATCTACCTGTTTATTATATATACACATCTCACACAATAATTACTCATAATGAAATCAAAATGTACATACACAAAAAAAGTCTCAAAAGATGCAAGTATCCAATGATTACTTAATAATTACTCAATATTCAATATTAGAGACGAAACATATACATACGCAATGATTACTTAATATCTCACAATGAAAAGCATCTAATATTATATACGTGTCTCTAACATCCAAAATGTCTCAAATGTCCAAAATAAAATTAGAAGTGGCCTAATCAATCCAGTCAAGGAACAGAAGAAATTCCTCGAAGAATGTCCTCCTGTGACAAACCCGAACGCCTCAAGTATGCAAATATCCTAACAAGGTTCTCTTGCGATAAACCTTGAGTACTGGAAGTAGAAGTGTTAGTAGCTGAAGCAGGACGAGCAGAATGTCGTATATCGGCAGCGGGCTGAGGAATTAGACCAGGCCGAGTAAATGATGGTGGATCATTAGGAGTGGGAGCAGGACAAGCACCCGAAGAATTAACCTATAAAGTAATAGCAATGTATGAGTATATACGCGACTAAGTATTAAATCTATGTGTGTGTTTATGTGTGTATAAGTATTAGATGTATGTATATTTGTGTATGCTAGTATACATGTGTATGCGAGAGTGTGTATATTATTTGCATATGTACCATATTGTTATTAATCCAATGCATCTGAGACCTAAGCTCCTCCCTGAGACTGTCCATCTCAGCTACCCGAGCTCTAAGATCAGCAACCTCGCGACGTAGCTCTTGATTAGAAGTGCCGATTTCTGGTATAGAGGAGGCCCTCAAATAAGACCGAGTGACACCAATGCCCAAACCTCTTTCATAACAACCGTGATGCCCTCCGTGCAAGGAATCTAACATCTGGGTGAAGGAAAGTGCATCGTCCTCTGGGGTTGAACCGACCCCTGATGAGGTTGCCTTCTCGATGACCCGCTCCTACACGATACAAAGTATTCAAATATAAGTCAACAAGACATGAAAGCATATATAAGACAATGATTGTTCTCAACAGACATGATAGCATATATAAGACAAATTAAAAGTAATAGTAATACATTATAAGCAGTTGAAAATTAATCATTATATAAATCATACACAATGATTGTTCTCAACAGACATGATAGCATATATAAGACAAATTAAAAGTAATAATAATACATTATAACCAGTTGAAAAATTAATCAACAACTACAGAAAAAGAGGAATGCATTAAGTTAGTTCATGAAGGCAAGGTTAGTGAATGAGGAAGAATAAATCGCCTCGAGCGCAGCCGGTGATTACACTGCATCCCCTAGTGTAAGGGTTCGCCTTTGGAAGAGCATGGCAGTTGTAGTAAGGCTTCCCAGGCCTATTATAGGGCACATTGTCCCTCCTTAGAGCTTCATAGCTTATGTACCTCTTCTTTCCACCGCCACCAACAGCCGTCGCCGCCCAAAGAATTTTCTTGCGGCTCATCTCTAAGCATTCTCCAACATTTTCTCCGCTGCAGACATCAGCAGAAACCTGCAGCTCAGCATCAAACTGAAAGTTGGAGCTGCAGCTGCTGAGATCAATACTGAAGGTGAAGAAAAAGAGGAGAATGGCAATAGAGAACCTCATGATCTTCCTCTCCCCCTTATCTATTCTTGGGTTTAAGTTTTTTGAAGGGAAAACTGCTTTAGATCTAAAACATACACCCATTGAACGCATGATCAATGAAGGGAAAATAACATGCCTGCACTAAATAGTATCAGATACACATTATCGAAATTTTGGTATTACGCAAAACACATTAAGATGGAGATTCAAATCGTATCAGATACAATTTTAAAATGGATTCAGAAAAGGTACCACGACTGCACTAAATAGTTCGGATTTTAATAGTTAAATTGATACTAGGCCTGCAAACACAAAGTTCTCATGCCCTTCTTCAGAGGAAGAATGATTGCTTTCGAGAGTCAATAGTTAATGAGCTCAGTGCTGGTCAATACTATGTACCAGCCACCCTGCGTGGGTAATCGTGCATCTTATTCAGTCCAAGCAACAACACCCATATTTGAAGGATTATTTGCATTTTTTTTACCCTGAAGTTTGCAACATTTTTTTAAGAAACTTTCATACACCAAAATTTTAGTGTCGCTTCACTTTAATACCTTTCGATTCACTCTTACTTTTTTTTTAAATGTATTCATGTACTTAAACACGCGACTCGTTTACGACAACCATAACCTCAGGAAGAAAAATAAATTCTCTACGCCACATTTCTTTCTTCTCATTTTATTTAGTCCAAACCAATTCTTATCAAAGCCCAAGTAGAATGAGGTGAAGAAATTGAGAGATGGGATACATTTCTCCAAAATGTATCACGTGTTAAGCACGTGATACATTTTAAGCCTAGCAACAAGTGAAGCAATACTGAGTATATTAAAGTTAATGACAGTGAAACTTTCTTTCAGCTGGTATCAAAGTGTCAAGGGGGAAAAAAGAGAAGTCAAAGCTAAAAAGCGCTGTGTCAATAGTCTCATCAGCAGTTTATACAGAAAACAATACAATAGGATGCATAAATACTCAAGGTTTAAGGTACTCCTGCTATCACTGCTATCAGAATCCTGCTATCACTGCCAGGAAAATAACATGCCTAAATGTTTAAAAGTTTAGGTTGGTAAGTTGTGCCAATAATTTTTGAATGACAAGATACAGTATACTAATGCTTTATATATAACAAAATAGAACACTTACGCAATACTCCTTAGTGCTATTGTCCGGGTATGTATACTCTCCGGTGATCTTATCTACTGATGACGAGTGGGTACCCAAATATAGTTTCAACATTGTAGGTGTGTCACCATCCTCAATGATTTGACATTTCTACAATTCATCTGAATTTTAATTAGCTGTAAGAATCAAATTTACCAATTGTTCCATAGCCCAGCACATATTCCTCGAGCCACTTGTATCGGTTGCTCTACCATGCAAATTTGACGCTCGATTCTGTGCATTACGTCGTGCCTCCTCCTGCATGTTATTATAATATTTAGATTTATAATCAAACAAAGGCAAAATTAATTACCAACTAAACAATTGATTTACTTTAAACTATACACCTTCTTGTCCTCTGCATCATAATATGCACACAAATTAGTCCACGAGTCTCTATCAATCCAAGAAAACGCCGGAGTAAGCCAGAGAGCCTCCCTCTCTGCTTCGGGAGTATTTTTCCACACCTCAAAACACTCATGTTTTACCTGACACCTATTATAGCGAACCATCTCCTGTAGCTGAGACTTCATTCCTCGATAAATAATATGATGGGAGAGAGGTTGATTAGGATCCATAGGGAGAAACTCATAATCCTTCTGCAAATTCAATAAACGAATCACATGGTTAAAATATTAAGTACCAAATGATAACAAATTAATCAGATAAATCAAAATACAAATATAATTATACCTGGCATCTTATAAAGAACTCGTCAAACGACCTATTATGTTCATCACCCCATTCTAAATGAAGAGGATATTTGCAGTACACACGACTCTCCGTCCCCACATACTTTCCCCATTTCTCAGCATAATCACCAATGGGGCGACCCCTATTATTGAGGAACAGAGGCCATGCCTTCTCACCTTTTTCAGCATCGGGCTTAAGCTTATGGGAAGTATTGGGGCCTCGAGTGGGAACAGAGGATCGCGATTGCACTGTATGTGATGAGACAAATAAGATATTAGATAATATAAAGAATAATAAATAATATAAATTCAAAGTGGATATATATACAAATTGCTACCTCCATCGCCTTGTTGCTCCGCATGTTTCCGAGAACGACTAGGACGAAGATTAAAAGAGTGTTTTGGAACACATGCCGGTGCAGATGTAGATGCAGCTAAACAATAAAAATGATTCATGTAAGTACAAATATCCAGTTCAGAATGCACATTAATCACCAAAAGAACAGCTTGCACATGGAGGACAATCTGAACTAATTCACTGTTATTTGTACTTTATTAAAAGAACTCTTAATTAAAATTTAACATGTAGATAAATCTATTTGAGCAACAATTCCTTTACTTCTAATCTGAAATTTTTTGAAGCTGCCGAAAATGCTGAACTGCTGGTACATTTACGGATTGAAGTGGGTAACTTCTGAAACCTGAAGGGGCTATACATTTATAGCTAGAAGGCTCTGCCTGCAAGTCTCAAACTAGCTGGAAACTAAGTCTTTGTTAATTGGTTAAACAAATTAATCCCAAAGATAATGCAACTTGCTGCATTCCTCAACACGGAAAAATTGCATAAAGAATGACTTACGACTTCTGAAGGTCTTTACCATTATTAGATGAAAGTTCCTAGAACCCTACCGTTTTTCTTTCTTTAATTTCTTTTTAATTTTATTTTATTTGCGTTTTTGAAAAAACGACTAGTACTCCTGAACTACTAATAATAATATATAATAACAACCCTCAGGTTCTGTGGTTTTTTCTTTAATGGATCACAATAAGAACTGAGATTTAATTGCCATACAATTTCACAAGTATCCTCTAATATATACGTCACGTTATAGGAATTTTGTAAAGTAGCTAGGGAGAAAATTGTTTTGGTATCCATCATGTTACACAAAATTTCAAGCAATGCCTACTTACCATACACACCGGTCACAGCTCGTAGACCGAATGTTAAACAAATGATTCGAACGTACAATACAAAAGCGAAAGATATAAAGAAAGATAGAAGCATCTGAATTACATCCAAGATTGAGTGTAGAAGAGTACTGACCTGATGATTGTCCAGAAGGTATGGAATGCGAAAGGGGGGTCGTCTGTAAATCATTTAGGTTTGTAGGCGTTTGTCGATTTGCATCTACATCTGTGTAAGAGATGAACTGCAAGTAAAATATCTTTCCTCAAAGGACATAATCGATCAGGGAAATGTTTCCAAGGTAGCTTCTTATTTCATCATTTATTAAAGGGAAAAAAATCGATTAAGACTTTCCTCGTCAATAAAATTAACATGGATGACTAGACTAGCAAAAGACTAAAAACGGACAGTATGAGTTGAGAACTAGCGATAAATCAACATGTAACTGGGGGCTGGTTACAGATGTTATTTCCCCCCATGCATGAGATGCGAATCCAATCGAACACGAAATAAATTAAAACGGGTCACATAGTTCAATTAATTAGAATTAGTGTCCCAGATGTAGCTGACCATACAACATAAAATAGTTTGCCTCCATGGCTAAATCCAAACCTGTAAGTAGAAACCAACTACAACGCATACAAATTTGACATAAAGGTGCTAGGTTGCCAAATTTGCAAAGGAGTAGATATAGGCTCTGGTTGGTAGTAGTTCGGTAGAAACCATGGGAATTAATGTAGAACTCCAGGCACTTGAGCCAACACACAAGTCGCAGGAAAGAACAACACGCAGCAACACAACAGAACACAAAATAAAAAGAAATATGTAAGGGATAATGAAAATACAAAATAAAATGAAATATGTAAGGGATAATGATTTGATGTCATATTAAAACAGAATCAAAATAAAAGTAAATAGTTACCTCTGACTGGAGTAAACTCTCCAATGATAGGTACAGATGTAGCAACATGAGTAGATTCAAGATCTCTCCTACGCTCTCTCACTTGACGATGTAGGTCCCCGCGCTGTATAATTCTACGTGATCTGCTTCGTGATGGGTTTCCAGACAACTTCGTCAAGCCCTAGAAAAATTTTACAATTCATATAAGATATAAGCGAATAGACATATTTATAAATTTGAAGATATAAATTTTAAACAACATAAATTTTTATAATGGTTACCTTTTTTGCTTTACAGAAGTGTTAGGTTCTACAGAACAAGGAAATGGATAGAACTATGAGCTGACAAGCATAGAATCACACAATGAATCCAAACTAATTAATACTTAAACTCTACTGTTACAATTTGAAACTATTATAACACAGCCAAAGAGAATAAGGGGTAAAATTAAAGCAATTCATAACTCTTTTGACAATCACACATCCAAAGCACATCGTATAGTAATTCATTCCTCAATTCAAAATAAATTTTTATAATGGTTACCTTTTTCGCTTTACAGAAATGTTAGGTTCTACAGATTCCCTGTAAGTTGTAGGAATATCTACAAGTATTGCACTATTCAAATCAATCCTAACCCACGAAACTTTATCAAACTCAGGAGATTTATCTTGACATACAACTCCTCCCTACTCAAATTCTTCGTTATTATTAATCTCTACAATCTCTGAATCTACGAATTGTGGGACGTCGTAAGTATCCCTGGGCCTCCATCGACATACAACACTCCACCCCGAATGCCTCAAGCACTTCGTGTAGTATACTTGAAATGCTTGTTCTGGAAATATAAATGGATCGTCCTAAAAGGAAAACCGTGTCATATTTACACTCGTAATTGTCTCTCCACTTACCAGTTCCAGTCTTCATATCATACCAAACACACTAGAAGACATAAATGCATCCTGCTCGTCCGGGATAGTTGATACCAAGTATGTTATCAAGGTATCCATAGTATGTCTCACCATTGGTGCCTAGGGTTGCAATTCCGCTATTTTGGGTGGTTCGAGGTTCTTCTATAGACTTGATTTCAAACTTGTAACCGCCAACACCGAATCCTTTATAGTATTTAACTTCAGCATCTGGAAACGTAGCCAAATATCCAAGTTCCTTATCTAATATTGGTTCTATACCCGGTAATCGGCTCTGACAAAAAGGTTAATATGAAAATTACATAAAGATGTTAGATTAAATAATAGAATGAGTCAAAAATGAGATAATAGAAAACTTACATAATGTTTAAACCAATTGCAAAAATTGTCCTGATGATGTGTTTCAACACGTGTCTCATTCCAATTACTATGCATTGCACATATTTCATCTTTGTGTAATCTAATGTCAAAATGAGTAGTTAATGTGAGAAGTTTATTATGTCATATAAACATATATAATTATACGAAATAGACATACTCTCTAATTTCTCCAAGGCATTCGAGATTGAGAAGGATAAAGTGATGAATCTTGTTGATAAACGCGGACGTCATTCTATTGTAATCCGTCTTTTTAGATGGTCCGTCATGGATCACAACAGGTCTGTTGAGTTTTGTCTCAATGTCTTCATCCAGATAATGAGAACAAAAAGTGGTTACCTCCTCTAGCAGATAACCTTCCATAATAGAACCCTCTGGTCGATTTCTATTACGAATATAATTTTTCAGAGTGAGAAGGTACCTACAAAAGCTTACACTAAATCATCGCATCCAAGCTATAAAATAAAAATATATTGATTACGATAACTGAAAAACTAAAGGTACCTTTCAATGGGGTACATCCATCGATATTGTACCGGTCCGGTAAGCCTAGCCTCGGTTGCAAGATGAACAGTCAGGTGTATAATGATATCAAAGAATGAAGGTGGAAAAATTCGCTCAAGCTTGCACAAAATTAAGGGAATTTCAACCTCTAGTTTCTTCAACTTATCATCCTCAATGTTTTTAGCTCATAATTCCTGAAAGAATCTGCAAAAATCGTTGATCACTAAACCGACTGATTTAGGGAGAGAAGTCCTAAGAGAGAGTGGAAGAAGATTCTCCTTAATAATATGGTGATCATGACTCTTCAACCCTTCGATCTTGCCTTTAACAATCTTTATCTTCTTACTAAATGATCCTGAAAACCCCGTAGGAACCTTCAACTCATGTAACACCTGGAGAAACTTTTTCTTCTCATCTGGTGACATGTGATACACAGCATTGGGGAGTACAAATTGGTCAGGATTTCCTGCCTTCGGTATAGGATGTAACTCTTTTCTAATATTCCATGCCTGGAGATCCCTTCGAGCTTTGAGGTTATCTTTTGATTTTCCATCTTTACAGAGAAGTAAGTTAAGTATGTGCTCAGATACTCCCTTCTCAATGTGCATGACGTCTAGATTGTGCCGCACTTTATTTGTCTTCCAGTATGGTAGTTCAAAGAAGATATTTTTTTTGTTCCATCCCTGTGTTGCTTCTTGCCTTCCCTTAACTTTTCCGAAAGTCACATTGTTTTTACCATTCCATTGAGCAAGTATATCCTCTCCGGATAATGGGTCTGGACGTGGACGATTCTCTTTAGTACCATCAAAGTGGATGATGTCATCTCTGTACGGATGATTTTCATCCAACATACGCCGATGACTGTAATAACAAGTCTTATTGCTAAAGGGTAGTCTTCTCGATGTTGTCTGGAGATGACAGTAAGGACATGCAGTGTAACCATGTAGAGACCAACCAGATAGCATTCCATACGCAGGAAAATCATTGATTGTCCACATTAAGGCTGCACGCATGGTGAAGTTTGTCCCTGTGTCCGCATCGTATGTCTCCACACCATCGATGAATAAAGACTTTAACTCTTCGATAAGAGGTCGAAGATAGACGTCAATATTGTTTCCCGGTGACTTTAGACCATTAATAAGAAGAGGCATCATGAAATATGATTGGTCCATAGCTAACTACGGTGAGAGGTTATAAACCATCATCACAACTGGCCATGTGCTGTGGGGATTGCCCTTAAAGCTGAAGGGGCAAAAGCCATCACTAGCCAATCCCAGCCTGATATTGCGAGGTTCCTGACTAAATGTTGAGTGTCTACTGTCAAAATCCTTCCATGCAGGCATATCTCTAGGATGACTCATTCGTCCATTTTCACTTGGACGTGCACGGTGATGCCAAGTCATCGCCACTGCTGTCTTCTTACACTTGAATAGCCTCTGCAGCCTCTGTGTAATGGGAAAGTATCGTACTATCTTGATAGGTATATCCTTCTTCTGACCATGTACTTTCTTATATCTAGCCTCTCCGTAAGTAGGACACTCCGTCTTATCTGAATTTTCTTTCCAATAAAGTATACAATCATTAGGACATGCATGTATCATCTCACACTTCAGACCCAGATTAGACATTATCTTTTGAGCTTCGTACCAGCTCTCAGGCACATGGTTCCCAAGAGGCATAGAATCTTTAAGAAACTTGAGGAGCATCATAAATGACTTGTTGCTCCATTTATTTAGACATTTAATCTGGAATAGATGGACGAACCATGACAACGTGGAGTGTTTTGCATTCTCATAAATGGGCCTCCTAGCATCATTCATGTATTTATCATAATTATCTTCATGATGTCCTCCTCTGAAAGGAGGATCTTCAGCAGGGTTAGTGTTACCAAGAGCTACCTCAACCATTTCCTCCATTTCCTCATCGAGAAACAAGTTGACTTCTTCTTGTTCTTCTTCATCTGCATTAATGAGACCTTCAATTTCTTCATGATATACCCAAGTTTTGAAATCGCTAACAAAACCATTCTTCACAATGTGAAGTTCTACTTCTTCCTCCAGTTGATGCAACCTATTCACGCATAATTTACATGGACAAATGAGTCTCCCATGCCGAACCATATCGTGTCTACGAACAAAGTCCATGACGCATAATTTACATGGACAAATGAGTCTCCCATGCCGAACCATATCGTGTCTACGAACAAAGTCCATGAACGCACTAACTCCATTAACAAAAATATAACGCATGCGTTCTGCACGACCCACATACATCCAATCCTTATCTCTGATGTAGTTACGGGACATGCTAACCTAAATAAAATGATTTATCAGTAACGACTCCTAAGAACTTAACGGAACAAAACATGAGGTACATGGAGAGAAAAACAAAGCAAAAGACTAGCCTAAAAATAATTGGAACAAAACATGAGGTACATGGAGAGAAAAACAAAGCAAAAGACTAGCCTAAAAATAATTCAAGAAATAGAAACCTGATTAAATTCCCATGGAGAGAAAAACAAAGCAAAAGACTAGCCTAAAAATAATTCAAGAAATAGAAACCTGATTAAATTCCCGCATATGCAATATAAAGAATCTCGTAGAATGTTTAACTATTAACATTTTAGTGCATATAAAGAAAGGTTTGAAGTTATAATAGATTTGATGTAATCGTTCTATAGTCTTACACCAAATGAAACAGCAAACGTAAAGGAATGTGTAAACACAACAAGGAGAAGCAAAGGCCAAAAAACAAGATAATTGCTTATGGAAAAAAGCAATTAGGAGTCTATATGCTTAGTTAGAACTCCATGTGTCTATCTGTGATTTAACTCTTTCTCCTTCTCTTTAATTTCCTTTCTCTTTTTTACTTTTCATGAATTTTGCCTCTGGATCTATTTTATTATATTTTAAGATGGGGCAAAGGGAACTATATCCACTGAATTGGCAACATCTCAGATAAAATTATAACATTCTCTTCTACATTGATTTTCTAAAATTGGATAATATAAGAAAAAGAGTAGGGAAACAACTCCTAAATTTGCAAAAGTTTTTTCTCAAAAAATATTAAACCCAATATTAAAGAACATTAACAAATTAGCAAATCGATTATTATGGTTTGAAAATCCTCCAATTTGACCTTCTTAATTATAGTCTAACAAGTTGTATATAACTGATTTTTCTTTCTTGCAATTAAACAAAAAAAACAAACATTAAAAGAGAGAAAAATGAGAAAGAGAAAACAGGAAAAATTTATCTCATCAACAGAGGGATCAAGAGGATATCCGTATCCTACTGTGAATGTCATCAGTGAATTAGAAAATGGCATGCTAAAGAACTCATCAGATGGGTAGAATCAGGTCATCAAGATATAATTCTCCCCAAAAAAATTTTTTTTTTGTGTGTAAACTCCTAACTCATCTAAATTTCACTAGCACTCAACTTAAGTAAGTAACAAAATATTGAGGTAAACAAATAAATCTAAATAAAATCAAAGATCCAATGAGCAGAAACCTGAGATCTCTTGATCACTGTTGCCTCCAAAGATCGAAGAACAGAGGGAGCGGACGTGTCCCTTTAATAACCGCTTATTCAGGCGGAAGAGGCAGAGGCGGAGGATGGCTCGTCGGCGGCGAAGGTGGAGGATGGCTCGTCGGCGGCGAAGGTGGAGGCGCGGGCGATGATGAGGGATGAGAAAGAGAACGCGGGTATTTATTTTATTTACAGAAAAAAAAACGCCCAAACGGTTTAACCCTTTTGGGGTACTATCCCAAACGGTTACAACCGTTTGGGCTATGCGTTTGGGATCTTATTCTTGCCCAAACGGTTGTAACTGTTTGGGTTAAGTTATCCCAAACGGGTTAACCCGTTTGGGCTGTTTTTATTTGCCCAAACGGTTACGAGAACCATTTGGGAAGGCCAGTTTGGTAATAGTGACCCCTTGCTAAGCTAAACACTGTTAGGAATATATTTGCAGTTGCTTTTGTGCAAAATTGGGAATTGCACCAATCTGATGTCAATAATGCATTCTTGAATGGGGATCTTGATGCGGAAGTCCACATGAAAATTCCTCAAGGTTTATCTAGAAATAACGAGACTCGGGCTTGCCAGCTACGAATATCATTATACGGGCTCAAGCAAGCATCATACAATTTGTATAAAAAAGTTCACGGCATCATTCTTGGCCGTCTCTACTATTAGTCAAAGACAAATTATAATTTCTTTACTTCACGTCAAAGTTGCTCTTGTAGTGTTATTCTTATCTTTGTCGATGATGTTATTATTGTTGGCAATGATGGATCCAGGATATCTACCTTAAAGCTTTACTTAGACTCCCAGTTCCGAATCAAGGATCTTGGTTTCACCTAAAGTATTTCCTACGAATTTAAATAGCATGTTATTCTATTGGGGTTGTGCTTAGCCAGATGAAGGGTGCAATTGATATTTTGTCTGAGAGTGACTTACTTGGGTCACAGCCAGCATCCTTTCCTAGCGAACAACAACATAACCTGGCGCATGATTCTAGGATCAATCATTCCTGGCCCAGCTCAGTATCATCACCTCATTGGGCGACTTCTGTATCACACAATTATCAGGCTTGATATATGTTATTCTTTTCACATCCTTGGTCATTTCTTGCAGAAAATCTTAAGGAAGGCCATCTTGATGCTGCACTATGTGTTTTGCGCTATATCAAGTCCTCCCCATGGCATGGCATTTTACTTTCCACTAGTAGTGTACTTACACTTAATGCTT